TGGGAAGGAGGAACAGCAAGAATAAGGTCAACTTCACCTGAATTCCCCACCAGCATCCACAAAGGACCCCAACCCGAATGTGTGTCGATTTTGTTTTCAGGGTTGCCACTGCTTCTCTAGGGGGAATAAACCCCTTTGTTAACGTACATGTGTACAAGTGCAGAGGTGTCCATGGATCAGCAGAGACTGAGCTTCAGATCAGTTTATTTAAGTGTAGGGGGCTAGGCTGGATGGTCTTTAGGCTCCTCCCAACTTTTAATTCTATGATTCTGTCATTTAGATCAGTGATATGCAGCTGGTAGCTCATGAGCCACCTGTGGCTCTTTGCCAACATGGCACCCTTCCCATGTTCCAGAAAAGTAGGCAAGGTTGTTGTTCAGTAACCCTTGTGATTGGCAGGTGGTTCCCTCCTTAAAAGAGCCACTGCTGGAAGGACTGGAGGATAGTTAAGCTGTGAGCCTTCCTCAGCTGCAGGCCTGGTGCCAGGGATGGAAGGGAAGGGCCCATCCTCTCCAGCAACCTCCTCCAGCAACCCCTTCAGCCTCCTCATTCTCATCTCAGCGCTGGGTAGCTGCCGGAAGAAGAGCAAGCTGACTACAGAGACGGGGGAATAAAATCACCACCACTATGGCAGCCGCATCAGAGAAGAGTGAGCTGGCCATGGGGGGAGGGGGGTGATTTTACTCCCCTCTCTTCACAGGCAGCTGGTCCTCCTCTGAGCACCTTGGCATTCTCACTCTCTTGCCCATCCAGCTGTGCCTCATGCTGAGAAGAGAGCTGGAAAGCAGAGACGGAAGCCCTTCGCCTCACTCCAAATACAGAAGGACTGGCTAAGGTTCAGTAGTGATGATTTAAAAGGTGAAAGTTATATATTTAAGCTTAGTAGCTCTATCTTATAGCGAGCCAGTGTGGTATAGTGGTTAAGAGTGGCAGACTAGTATCCAGGAGACCCAGGTTCGAATCCCCACTCATGCTTGCTGGGTGTCCTTTGGCCAGTTACACCCTCTCAACCTAACCTACCTTACAGGGTTGTTGTGAGAATAAAATGGAGGAGAGGAGAACGATGTAAGCCACTTTGGGTCCCCATTGGGGAGAAAGGCAGGGTACAAGTGAATTAAATAAATAAATCATATTACTGTTTGTATGTGTTTGGTGGGGTGGCACATAGTAGTCATGTGAGTCTTTTGGCTGCCAGTAATTGTGAATGTGGCTCTCTGTGAGCCACAGAGAGAGTACCACAGATTTAGATGTTTATATTCTGCTTGTCTTCCAGTGGGGACCCAAAGTGACATGCAGCATCATTTCCCATCCCCCATTTTTTCCTCACAACAGCCCTGTGAAGATAGACTGAGAGTGAGTGGTCCAAGATCAACCAGTGAGCTTCTGTGGCAGAGTTGGGATTCCAGCATGGGTCTCCCAGATCCTAGTCTGACAGTCTAACAAACGACACCAGAGTGGATCTCCTACAAAACAACAACAACAACAACAGCCCCGCACGGCTGGTTTAGAGATGGCCAACTGGCCCACCTGCAGTACAGTTCTTATTAGGATTTGCGTAGAATTGCCAGCTTTTTTTCTAGCAGCACTCCTGTGACTTTAACAGCTCCGTGATGTGCAGAAATATTACAAGTTTTTCCTGTTATGGGAGAATACATGATGATGAGTAGCTGTTAAAGGCACCGAAAAACAAACTGGCAAAAAAACATCCTGGCAACCTTGGTTGCCATCGAGCTAGGATAGCTATCTTTTTCTCAGCCCTGCTCTTGTTCGGTGTACAGAAGTAGGCATTAATTTTTCTCTCCATGCCATGTAAAGCTGCAGCTGCTGATTGCTACTGATCAAGTTGCCCCGATTGGTTTTCCTCCTTCTCGACTGGCAATCTCACACCCTGACCCTGAGCAAGGACAAAGGAGCAAGAGCCACAGGAGAAGAGAGTTTCCCAGGAAAGTTCCTCTGTGTCCCAGGGACTTCTGCAGTTTAACACAGTCTTCATATCATTATCTCATTGTTGTTATGAGTTTATTGCTCTGGTCCTAAAGATACCTTGGATGTGCTCAGAAGAACTGAATCCATTACTTTATCTTGCAACAAGTCCTAGTCTTGTACAGGGTCTTACAACATTGCGGGGGACGTAAAGGATTTAGTAATTGAGATAATATCATTATTAATCCAAATTCTTTAGAATAGCCACTGAGGATTAATTTGAAATAGCTTGCATCTGTCTTATCCTTGATTTAGCCACAATTCTTAGATGGTGGGGGGAGTGGAAGTTTTTAGGAGAACCTTTCTCTGAGAAGCTCTAGCCCCTGCCACACGGGGGGGGGGGGGAAGACGGGCAAAGTGTGGCTTTTTAAAGCCACACCAAAACAGACACGCGGTGGCGGGATCACATAGATACCCTGAGCTGTCGCGCACTTCCTCCCCAGCACGATCAGATGCTGGGGGGAAGCCACTGAAAGGGGAGCGAGGCAGCCGAACTGTGCATGTGTGCACATGCGCAGTTCGGCCAGGAGCCTGGATTGCTCCAGACGTCGGGCGTGCCGGCAATCCCACGGCCGCGCTTGATGCGGCGTTCCCAGTAAGTCCTCCTCTGGGGGTGGTTCTTTTTTACTGCGGGTTTTCGGCCTGAAGGGCCGGATCGGGGACGGGTGTGCGCCACTTCCCAGATGTTGCGGTGAGATCGTGCCCGCTTGCTGCGCCCCCAATCCGTCCCTCTCCCGGGCCAAAACCTTCCGTGTGACCGGGGCCTCTGTATAGCATTTAAAGGTTGACGGGCTACCCCTGTATAACCTCTGCTTTATCAACCCACCCTGGTGAGTTACCTTGTGCCAATAAAGCCTTTAACATGTCATGAATTCAGGCCGGAGGGGCCCAGGGTGAAGCCTGTCATCATGGCTAATTTTACGCCATATATAAACAGTTATCTCAGGAAATGTCTAGATAGCTGGGTAGATTAGGGCTGCCAAGTTCCCACCAGTGGCGGGACATTCCACACACCTGGCTCTCATTTCTCACCACTACTCCTGCAGGAGAAAAATAATCTAAAAAAAAAAATTCCTCTTGAGCGATGGCATGACATCTCTTATAGGGGAAACCTGGAAGTGAGATCAGTCCACTCCAGGAAACGCCAGAAACTCTATGATTTTACTATAGAGGGATTTTTTTTTGCAACTCCTAGAGGGGTGTGATATTATTTCCAGGTTGTCCCATAACTGACATCATGCCATGCCATACTCTTGTCTCATGTTTAGTGCTTTCAAAGCTGACCTGTTTTGTCGCAAGCCAGGTCATCCAATCCTGGACATCTGGCAGCGTGCTGTTAAATATCTTCAAATGGACTCAGCTGCTTAAAGGCCTACCACATTGTGATGAAAATGGCCTTGGGGAGCTTTGGGCCATGTGAATCACCACCACATGTCAGGCCATTTTGCAAACAGTAAAACATGCAACGCCTGAACCTTATTTGCTTATAGCTCACCTTTCAAATCCCAGACTCAGTTTGCACAGCTACCGGAAACCAAGCTGGTTATTTCTGCTCAAAAAGGGATTAATGGGAAGACAATGAAACCCTCCAGGCCATTGATACAGTGCCTCTTGTTCAGACACCTGCAAAGGTTTATCTCAGAGCAATGGGCATAAACTGCCCACTACAGGGAGAAAGGAGGATTAAAAGAGGGGAAATACAAAACTGAGGTTTTGACCTCTTGTAGTCAAGTGAGGCTTGGGAGTGGCCCTCCCCCTGGCCATACTCCCACAAGAGCATTACAGTCTGCTACCCCTTAATGTCCTTTCCCTCTTCATCCTGCTGTAGCTCACTTAGAGAGATTAATTTTCACCAGAGGAAAAGTATTCAGCCTGAAGACAGACCTTGGCCTGTTTAAATTCTGCTCTTAACAACTGACAAATAATTTAATTTTTCTTAGGCCTACAATAGCTCTGTGGTATTTGAACAGGAGTGATACATCCTTTGAAGTGAGCAGTCTTCCGGCAGTGACCACATTCATCCCTGCAGTGAAGTCTCTCTGCTCCATTCTTGCACTTACGCAGCCTGTTGTTCCCTCTCTCTGTGGCTCCCCACTCCTTCCCCTTTGTGTTTCTGTGGCCCTTCTGCAGGGGCTTATCAGTTAATGACTCACTGAGTTCAAAGGGGTCTAAGTGGAGGTGGGGCCTGTGCACTCACTCAGTTCTCGGGATCACCAGGCACCGCTGCTTTAGACCCCCTGATTATACTCAAAGTAGTCTGCTCTAGAGAAAAACACCTGCAGAGATCAGGGATAGGAAGAACCAGTGCTGAGAATTTCTATAGATGATTCACTATTATCTACACCCAAGATGCTTTGATCACTGCTACTGGTGCTGTCATAATTCCTCTGATATGAACACACACACACACTTATGAGAGGTGCTGATCCTTAGCTTACTGCACGCTGTCAGGTTTGCTGGCAAGAGGAAGTTTAGCCGCAGCCCGTTATTTTTTCTTTAACATGATGGCCTGAGCAGCTTGCCATTTCTGCTAGTATTTCATTGGATGACACATGCCCTGTAAGCAGTATGATGTAACAAAGAAAAGGTGATGGGTCCACCTCATGGAAACCACTTTATGGAAACCACATCTGGCATAATAGGAAACGGGCTCTATGAACAAAGAAGATTGCTGGAAAGACACCAGTCTTTGGCAGGCTAAGAGTAGGTTAAAATGTCATGGAAACATGAAGGAGATGACCCTTGGTTTGTTGGCCCAGACATAAGCCTTCGTTTGTACTTCAAGGGTTCTTCCACTCAGCTGCTGCTGCTGCTGCTGCTGCTGAGGTGTGAAGATGGAAATGTTGTCCCTTGAAGATATAAAAACACACCTCCAGCCCTGATAGATAAGAGAGATGTGAAAGCAGGACCACATATTTTAAAAAGGCTGCCTCGTCTCATGTTTGATTCCCCCATATTATGTATTTTAACATACTTTGTGCCAGTGTGTCATTATAATGAACATTTCCCTCCTGAGGCAGAGGAAGGGAGAGTGGTAAAAAGCCCAGCATAATGACATCAGGACATGAGATAAGTTGAACTAGAGGTTATGTAGAAGAGGAGGGGGAGAACTCCATATGAGGCTGCCTTTTTGTATGTGTGACAGCCTTTCTTTTTTTTGGTGACATGTACCATCACCCTTAGATGATGTTTAGAGAGGTTGGTTATCACAAGCAGATTTCCCATTTTAGAAATCATCAAAATCCTCTCCTAATTTCTGGTTCACCTCTTGCTTTTCTTGTTGACATCGATCCAACATACATTGCCTCTGGTTGAATTAGAGAGGTTCCCATAACAACATATGATATATGGATGTGCCTAAAGTAAAGAATAACTGAAGAGTTACTGTTTCCTATAGACGGCTTGCTGCCTTTGTTCTGTGCAGTGTGTCACTTGCCAACATCTTGGCACAGAATCAGAAAGCTCCCAACAGGAATGCTCGCTCATACTTTCATTTCCTTCCCTCCCTCTTCACATTATATAGGATTGTCCTCCTCCGTACTTCAGTAGCAACCAGCGATTGGTGGGGCTCCAGTCTGGAACTCAGCGTCTGGAGAGCACTGCTGAAAATTCTGACACTGCACAGGTGGGAGGAGACCTTTTATGGATGGGGTAGAGCATCCGTAAGAAGAGCTTGACATGTGTGGGAAGCTAATAAAAGCACAAGGGAGAGGGTGGGAGGAGGCTCTGAAAAAGGAGGGTTCGTGTGGATTGAACTGATGAAATGGTTTGTAGTATTATTAATCAACTACATGTTTGTTGTCAAAGTTCAACATGCGGTCCCTCTACACTACACTGCCTTATCTTGGGACTGCTGAGACTTAGGCTGTTCATGCTGAGATAGATACTTTTCAGTGCAGGCCATTAGTTTTACAAAATGGAGCACTGCATTTCAAAACATAGGATGCCTTATTAGCCTCACAGGATGTGGAACGGTATGGTATGGCCCCATCTCATCAGATCTTGGAAGCTAAGCGGGGTTGGTACTTGGATGGGAGACCACCAAGGAAGACTCTGCAGAGAAAGGCACTGGCAAGCCACTTCTGGTTCTCACTTGCCTTGCAGGCCCCTTGCTGGGGTTGACATAAGTCAGTTGCAGCTTGGCAGCACATATGTACTTATATTAGCCCTATAACTAGAGGCTTTAATAGAGTAAGTGTTAACCTCAGAGTCCACTTGAAAGAAACGGGTTCTATGAAAAATATCAGGAATGGCTTTGCTCTTTTCCAGTCTGGTCAGTGGAGAGATGGGCTAAAGTAGTTGCACTACCTTCCAGATTATATACATTGGGAAGAAGTAGGTGGGTTTCTTCCTTTTTAGTACAAAAATTCCCCATGCAAAAATTGGAATTATTCTGGGCAGCTACAAGAAACCATATATAGTTGCTTATTTCGCTAGTGCCACAGCTAACATTAGGAGGGAGTTGGTAATGGCTCTTGAACAATTGGGTTTAATTTTACTGCGTGTGTTGGTTTCCATTTTTTTTATTGCTGCACATTAACTGGTGTTTAACTTGACAATCAATGTACATTGAGCCACAAGGAACAGTTGTTCTTAGACTGAATCTCTTCAGACTTGGGCGGGGGGCACAGCATGTTTGAAGACCCACTAAACTGAGGAAGAAGTCCCTGTGCATAGGGAACAAGTATGTCAGGTAGAAAGAAGGCTGGCCTGTAATTCTTTGTCGGGCAGAGGAGCATCCAAATATGTGGTTCCCCCAATCTATAGCCTTACATTGTACAATCCAAACATAGTTTACAAGAGGATTCTGCCACATGTATAGATTGGTTCTCCCTTATTTATTTTTATGCATTTTTAACTTTGGATGTTCAGAATTCCTTATTAAAATGTGATAGCAAATGGCTCCTATGTGTAAATTACATGATTTAGCCCTGATCTCAGTTCCCCAGATGGCTCTTCTCAGCAGGGGAAATTGTAAGTGTGTGTGGTATAGAGAAGAACAGCACGACTCTGACAGAGACACAGCTCCTTCCTCTGTTTTCAGATGGGAAGAGGGCAGCATGTGCATGTGCATGCACACTTTGAACAGCGAGGGCCTCCATAGACATGTGGGGGGAGGGAAGATTTCAATCCAGTAAAATTTTTTTAAGAAGATGGCCTGGCAGCAAAAAAAAAAAACCTCTTAAAAAAAAAAGAACAACAAAAACAAGCTCTCTACTGGGGCTCTTGATTTGGGAGATAGGGCTTTTCAACCTATCAGAGGGTCCCAGCCTGTGGGTTGGAGGAGATCATTGTCCTAGTCCGGCATGCTAATCACTATACCACACTAGTTCTCTGGATGGCCTCGTAAGGTGTCTTCAGGGCTCACATGTAATATTTCAGCCAACTTTGTTAGCCAGGTGAGTTTGTATACTCAGGATCTAGAACGGTCTAAAGCAGGTTTTGAAAAAGAGAGGCTTGAAAAAATATCACTGAAGTAAGTGAAAAAGAGAGGGCAAGAGGATAACCTTCATCTTGGCTTTGACCTTGAACTACCTCGGTCTGTGGATGTGCCATAAACATATTAGTCCAGTGTGGCTGCAATGCTTAGAGGGATTGTACTCAGTGAGGGCAAGGCTTCCTATGACTGTCATGGAACAAGGAAGTGACCTTAGTTTGTGTATCCAGGGGGATGAACTCTTCTGTGTTGGACCCCCCAGCAGCTATCAGCTGCCTCCGTGGGAACAGCCACGCCTGCCAAGCTACGAGAGCGTGCGGAAGAAAGATCGGCAGCGGGAGATCCACCAGATGATTGCCGAAAGGTTTGGTTTGTGGGCAGAAGTCTCCCAAGAGGTGAGAAACAGTCACCCAAGCTCTTTGATTGTCCAGGCATCCACCCTGTATCATGTAAATGTACAGAACTGTCCTATTTGTAGGGTTCATTTCTATAGCTTGTGCGTAGTACTCCTTGCTGTGATATTGTAGGACTCTGCTCTCTTTTCAATGGCTTTTTTATCTCTTGGAAAAGGAACATAATGTACCAGGAGGCTCTAGAGCTAATCCTCTTGTTTACATTCCTTCTGGTTAATGATTCATCGACTATCTTTGGAAAGGTAGCATTTCTTCTGTCTTCCACAAGGAGCCAAAAACAGATTTGGAGGGCAGCCATGGGTCAAGTGTTTACCTGTAAGCATTCTACACATATCCTGTCATGCCTAAAGTGTGCCAGTTCTATGTGTGAATGGGCTGAACTTGTGTGGCAAGTGTGTTTGTTTATATGAGAAAGGGCATGAGTGGACCACTGTCACATCTTTTTACCCATGTCTGCCATCACATCCATTTCAACCTCACAGTATGAGTTGAGTCCAAATGGGCAGATTCCCATCAGGATCAAGACAGGGATTGATATTAGGAAATCTGGGAATTATTTCAGCTATCTTTTATTCAGTTCTTGCCATCTGCCAATTCTCCCAACACATGAAGACTGCAGTCCAAAGAAGACTTACTTGGAAGAAAGTCTAATAGAACCTATGAAGCTGCCTTATATTGCCTAGCTAGCCTGATCTTGTTGAGCCTGTGGGCACTTTGGGAGTTTTGAGGGCAAAGAATGGGTGCCACCACAAAATGGCTGCTCTTTAGGGCTGATTCCGCCAAAATTTGAGAGGGTGCAAGCCAAGCATCCATCTACAATGTAGGCAACTGCTTGTGAATGGATGTTCCCTGCTTCCTAGGTTCTTCTGAAACACCTCTTGCTCCAGTGAGGTGGAGGCAAGCCAGGATTGGCTCTTTGCTTTGGGAAAGGAAAGTTTTGTCAAAGAAGCAACTGGGTGTCACGAAGTTCACAGGTGGGCACCTTGGTGCCCACGTTAGGGGGGTGTCACTGAACTAGCCCCATGGCATCTACTCTGACTAGCAGCAGCTCTGCAAGGTCTCAGGCCAAGGCCTCTCCTAGCCCTTCTACCTAAAATATCCTTGATTGAAGACACCAGGAATGGAGGTACTTCTGCAAGCAAAACACGTTTCCCACTACTGAGCTATGGCCATTGTCCCATTGCAAACATACAGTAATGAACAGGGAACTGTTCAGATACAACTTGCATGTGTCTGGTTAATTCATTGGTCTCTACAGTATAGACCCAAACTGGGGAGAAAGTGCAACAAAAAACTAGAGTAATCTTAATTTCCTCTATACTGGGTTCTCTTTGTCCCCTTCAGGAGAAGTTTCGAGAGTCAAAGTTCCCTTTGTCAGATACAACTAGGAACGGTGATCCCTTATATCCCAGTCAGAAGATAGGAGGGAAAATTAGCAGAATGACAGCACATTCCAGTGCAGGCTAACTCAGAAGTAAGTCCTGTTGTATTCAACAGGGCTTACTCTCAGGTAAGCATGCACAGGATTGCACTGAAAGGCATTCACATGCTTCTCTGCTTTAGTGTCTTGCTGTGGTTTAAGTTCAGTTTGTTTTGGATCGAGGGTTCCGGTTCCGGACTCAGCGAGGGCGGACGGGTGGTGAGCTAGCTCTCCATGCCTGCCTATCTGTATACTTTACTTCAAGGCATTTCCAACACCTAGGTCTCTCCCAGAGAGAGAGCTCTAGCAAGGGACTTTTGCTGACAAGAGGTGAGGGGGTGGCGACCCCCCCCCCTTCTGCAGTACAGCCTTGTCCTGAAGCGGAAAGTATATGGAGTCCAGATGAGATGCAAGTCACGCCGAGCGCAAGAACCGATTGGAGTCTCAACAGAGGAAGAATTACCAAAGCTAAGTATTTTTTCTTTAGAAATAAATGATTTTCCTCCACAGCTTGTTTCCTGAGTGGAGTTTTTTTTCCTTTTTTTTGTGTGCGAGGTTGAGTTGAGTAGGATAGAGGGAGGTGTGCTGGGGAGAAACGCTGAGAGAAAAGAGAGAAGGAAAGAGAAACGGATCTTCCCCAAAGCGGCCGCAGAAAAGAACATAGTGTGATTGGGGAAGGACTAACAGACATAGAAAGAGCAAATAGGAAACATAGTAGCTATATCTGTCAAGTAATTAAGTCTGCACTTAGATTGGTTTTTTCCCCTCTTGCCTTTCTTTTAGGTGCCAGCTGGAGAAACACTGAGCAATCGCCATTGAAGCTGAAGGTAGGAGAAGCCGAGATGATGTAGTGATGTAGCGGATCAATGCAGGGACACGCTGATGAAGAGACGCGACGCAACGTGAAAGAGTGGAAAGGAGAGCAAAACTGCACAGAAGGCCAAAAATAACCGGAAGTATGGAGAAAGAGGGCTGAAAGAAGTACTGAAAGATCTGTAATGAACTCAAGATTTGAGTTAGAAAGTTTGGGAGAAAGAGAAAAAGAAAGAGAGAAATAGGGATCTAAGAACTTAAAAACAAAACATCATAATAGAAGAGGAGTGTGATATGGAAACAGGAAAGGAATAGGAAAGAAAAACCACAGAAAGATTTTGTTAAAAAAATTTTACTTGTCATTTTCTTTGGTTCTTTCTGTGGCCAACCTTAGGGAGTGTGGTTCTGAGTTGGCAGGTATTTCAGCACAAGGTTAAAAGCTGACAAGAGATAATAATAATAAAATTTCATTGAGAGTAGCTGATTAGAGAAAGAGATTTGAGATAAATATCTTTACATTTTGAAATATCCTAGGTTGAGATATTTACCAGATTAATGGCTTCGGGATCTAGGAAACCATCACTGACATCACCAGGACAGGTAGGGAGTATGAGCCAGCTGAAAGCAGGTACTACAAATATAGGGCAGATGACATTGAAAGACTTAAAGATGTTTATTCAAGAAAGTGTAGCCTAGACGGTTAGAACAACAGTGGAAGAAATTTTACCAACGCTCTTAAAAAAAGAGTTAGAGCCAGTACAGAATATAACTGAACAGATCAAATTAGAGAAAGAAGAGATTAAAAAACAATTAATAGAGAATAAACAAGAAATAGCGCAAATCAGAACTAATTGTGAGAAGATGAAGGGGAAGGTAAGAGATATCGATTTTGAAGTACAGGAACAGAAAAGTAAAAATGAGCAAATAGAAGAAACGTTGATTAACCTAGAGATAGATAAGGCTGCTCTAGTGATTAGATGCCAAAATATACTTGAAAATCTGGAAAAAAAATTGAAGGCGGTTGTAGTTCAAAATCTAGGGGAGCAACTACAAGTAGGCTCCCAAGAAGAAATTTCAGCTGAAATTGAATCAATATATAAATGTAATTCCGCATATGAGAAAAGACATCAGTTACCGCGTGAAGTACACATAAAGTTTTATAGACTAGAAATGAAAGAAAAGATTCTCAAGGCATCATACGAAAATAAAGTGATGATACAAGGAGCTGAAATTAGATTATTAAAAGAGATTCTTTGTAGAGTAAGGGATAAAAGACAGAACTATCATGTTGTGACAAATTTGTTGAAGAAAAGTGGAATTATGTTTAGATGGCTGATACCAGAAGGAATACTATTTCACTTTGAAGGTAAAAGACACCATCTAGATTCAATATTCAAGGTTGAAAACTTTCTGGAGAAATATGGATAAGTCTTGGGGGGGCAGAAGGAGGAAGGGGATGAGGAAGAGGAAGATGAGGTTAGAGAAGAGGAAGAAGAGGAAGAGACAGAAGAGGGCGCTACAGGACCAGAAAAAGGAAAACCTGGGGAAAATACGGGAAAGAAAGACAAAAGAGGACGAGGGACCACGGTTTCTTATGTACTGTCAAGATTCCAATATAGAGCCAGAGAAAAGATAATAAACCAAACATGAGTAAAGGGATGAAAATTCTTTCGATTAATGTTAATGGATTAAACAGCCCCCAGAAAAGAAGAAGAATATTTAATCAAATAGTCAAATTGAAAGCAGATGTAGTATGCTTACAAGAGACTCATATAAAGAAAGGGGATGTCAAATATTTAGCTAATAGGAAATTAGGAAATGAATTTGTTTCAGCAGATATGAAAAAGAAATGAGGTGTTGTGACTTATATCCAAAATTACATTAAGGCGGATATGTTTTATAAGTCAGAAGATGGAAAGATTGTAGCCACGACTATATTTAGGAATGGAAAAGAAACACTATTGGTTACTATATATGTTCCGAATCAATGTCAAGACAAGTTTTATAAAGAGTTACAAGATGTATTGAAAATGAAAGAATTCAAAAATATTTGTATAATAGGAGACTTTAATGGAGTCTTAGACCCAAAATTAGATAGGAAAAATTTGGGGGGAAAAACAGAAATAAAGGAACAACCGTACCTAATGTGTATATGCAGATAGTGGATGAATACAACTTACTAGATGTTTGGAAAACAAGAAATACAAAGAAGAAAGACTACACGTTTTACTCAGCATGGCACAAAGCATGGTCAAGGATTGATACGGTCTGGGCATAATTGGAAATGTTTAAAGAACTCATAGAGGTTGAAATATTACCAAATACGTTCGCAGATCACAATCCGATAACAGTGTCTTTTGAAGAAAGAAAAAAGAGAGGCAGATGGAAGTTAAATATAGGTCTATTTAGAGATGCAGATTTCATAAAGAAGACTGAGAGATAACACTTTTTTTAAAAAAAAGAAATTTGCAACCTGATATTTCAACTGGAATAGTATGGGATACATTCAAGGCATCCAGAACCAAACAAAGGTTAGTGAAGAAGAGGGCCAATATTAAAACCTATCTAATAAAAGTAGGAAAAGATACATGTATTTATTAATAACAAATTTTAAAACATATACAGGGGCCCATTTACAACAATTATATATAAAACATTACAATACCAAGGGCTTAAAAGCTTGACCTTACGCGTTTCGGCCAAATAGACCTTCCTCATAGGTCATATATATGTGGCAAAATGGCTAATA